TAGTGCAGCACCAGACGCTGCAGCGGAAGGTGTAAGAACCCTGCAGCGGCAGGTGGGGGCTAATCCTAGAGTCAAAGGACTGGCAGGGACCCCGGAGTCGAGTCCCGTCCCCGACCCCACAGCAGGGCCCAGCCCCGTCTGGACCGTCCCCGACAGGCGTGTGTCCAAGCTGCTCGTCAATATCCCCAGCGATGGCGACTCCACAGCCCCAGGTAGTTTATCCCAGTGTGTCACCCCCGACGGGCGGGACGGTTTTCCTAATGTCCGGCCCAGGGTGAAAGTAATTTACATTTCTTACAGGCACTGTCCTATCGCAATGCCCACCCCCAGCCAGGGCGCCGCACTGGCTACTTTCACCTTTGGTCCAGCCTAAACCATCCTTGCTGCACATTAAGCCCTTTGCTTCCTGGCCAGTCATCAGAAGCTAATGAGAACAGCCCTGTCTCTTCTCCGTGACCCCCGCTGAGTCTCCTCTCCCCCGGCTCAGTACACCCAGCCCTGGCCATCTCCCCTCCCAGGGCGCTGTCTAGAACTGTAGCATTTCTGGTGCTCTTCCCCCTTGCAGCTCCCCAGGCCCTGGCCTCAGGCAGGTCAGAGCCGCTCACGCCCTGGCCTGGAGGGGGACAGCCTGGCCAGAATGTCCCGTGCTCGTCCAGCCCCTTGCGAACCAGGACTCCCTGTGCCCATGCAATCCACAGGCTAATTACACCCGGGGGCGGCTGCGCTACAGAGACGATGGACCTTCCAGGGTCCCACTGAGCGGGGCTAGCGCAGACCGCTCGTCCGAAGGGAGAGGGGCGCGCCGCTCGATGCTGGCAGTCCTGCTCCCACGAGGAGCGAGGGAAGTCAAAGGGCGAGCGCCCTCCCCTTGGCTTCCTGCAGCAGGGCCAGCGCCAAAGGCCGAGGCCAGGGACTTCGACTCCAGCTACAGGGTGACCGCAGCTGAAGTTGTGTAGCTCAATGCGACCTTGTCCCGTGGGGCAGACGTGCCCTGAGTGAAACCCGTTCCCTCCCCTTGGCTTCCTGCAGCAGGGCCAGCGCCAAAGGCCGAGGCCAGGGACTTCGACTCCAGCTACAGGGTGACCGCAGCTGAAGTTGTGTAGCTCAATGCGACCTTGTCCCGTGGGGCAGACGTGCCCTGAGTGAAACCCGTTTCTTCCTGCGCTACCACCTGCCAGTCTCCTCAAGCGCCTCCGCGCC